CCCATGGATACTTCCACCCTCACTCCCTGCGCTCCAGCCACACCCTGTCCACCCCTCAGGCACTGCCCGCCCGCCCACCCCCAACCCCCAACCCCCAACCTGATTCCCGTTATAGACTCACTCTTATTTATTTATTTATTTAGTTAGTTGCATCAGGTCTTAGTTGCGGCTCCAGGGCTCCTTAGTTGCGGCTTTCCAGCTCCTTAGTTGCGGCATGCATGTGGGATCTAGTTCCCCCACCAGGGATGGAACCCAGGCCCCCCGCATCGGGAGCACAGTCTTATCCACTGCGCCACCATGGAAGTCCCTAGACTCTCCCTTTAACATCTGCATCTCACCTTGCTCAAGTCTCTCTGATTAAAAGAGAACCAAATACTCCCCCTTAACGAGGTTTGCCAAATTTAGCAAATAAAAATACAGGTCGCCCATGGGAATTCGTTCCAGTGGTTAGGAGTCTGAGCTCTCACTGCAAGGGCTCCGGGTTCAATCCCTGGTCAGGGAACTAAAATCCCACAAGCCACGTGGCCCAGCCAAAAAAACAAAAACAAAACAAAACAGGACGCCAGGGAAATTTGAATTTCAGATAAACCACAGACAATTTTCACTAAAAGCATGTCCCAAATAGTGCATGGGACCTATTTATACTGAGAAATTATTCACCTCTTCTCTAAAATTCAAATTTAATGGGGAGTGCCGTGTTTTATTCGATAACTCTACCCCAGGACCCCTGGTGGCTCCCCAGTTCCCATGCCATCACCTTTCTTTTACCATCTAACTTTTGAAAGGTTTGAGTTCGCCTGCTGTCTCTTACCATGCATTCCCATGGCCTGGCTTTCCCCTGAAAGAGTTCCCATTAAGGTTAATACCTTGTAGCTAAACCCAGTATCTGTTTTTTTCTTTGTCTTTGTCTTTTTTTTTTTTTTTTTTTGCGGCACGCGGGCCTCTCCCTGCTGTGGCCTCTCCCGTTGCGGAGCACAGGCTCCGGACGCGCAGGCTCAGCGGCCATGGCTCACGGGCCCAGCCGCTCCGCGGCATGTGGGATCTTCCCGGACCGGGGCACGAACCCGTGTCCCCTGCATCGGCAGGCGGACTCTCAACCACTGCGCCACCAGGGAAGCCCGCCAGTATCTGTTTTATTGTCAACTCTCCTGGCATCTTGGTGGCCTTGGATGGTCCTGACTCTACCGTCATCTGCTGGATTCTGGAGACCCTGCCCTGGCCTCTGCGATGCCCCTTTCCGCATCCCCCATCTCCCCCCCAACCCCCTGCACCATGTGGCCCCTCCGCTGGGGTATACCACAGGGTCTGGGGCTGACACTGGACCTGCCCCTTCCTCCTCCAGGGTTTCTCTCTTCTGCTGACAGTACCACTGTCTTCCCAACTGCCCAAGCCAGGAACCAGGGCCTTGTGCCCCATCCCCAGATGTGTCTCTCCTGGAGGCGCCCCCCATCCCTTTAATCCATTTTCCTCACTGTAGTCAGGGAGATCTTTTGAAAACGCAAATCACATCAAATCCCTTCCCTGGCTCCCCAGTCAGTGTCCACAGTTTAAAATCCGAGCTTCTAAATTTAGCTTCTAAACTCTGGGGACTTGGTCCCTGCTGACCCTGCAGCTCCCTTCATCTCCCCTCCATTCCCTGACCCCAACGCTCACTCCCATTTGCCTGGGACCCTCGCTTCTTCTGGAAAACACACAGCCTGAGTAGATACCACCTACTCCTCCCAGTTGTCCTCACCGTCCCCAGGAAGTCCTCCCTCCACCCCTGCTGCGTGTGCTTTTCCCCCTTCCCCACCAAACACGCAGGCACCCTGATGCACTGCTGTCTCTTTACCAGGCTGGAAGTTCCAGGAGATCAGCGCTCTTGCCTCCCACTTCACGAGTCTACTCCTGGCACATAGTAGGTCCTGGTAACATTGTGTCTCTTATCAGTCCCCTGGCCTCAAAGCCCTCAAGGGGGAGGTGGGTCCGTTGTCTTCGTGTCCTAGCACGGGGCTGATCAGAGCTTCCAGAGGATACCGGTCCAATGAAGAAGTCACCTATTTCAGAGTCATCCCTTCAGTGCGTTTGTCAGAATCAGCCTCTTCCGTGAATTTGTGAAAGACGTGTTAACTGAAAGGCTTCAGTGACAATTTGAAATACAGCTATCTGAATCAATATTGATATAAAAAAACAGCATTCATGTTTGTATGTGACTAAAAAGTCAGGTGTTGGGAGACAAAGAAATCGCAAACTTGAAATCTTTCTCGTACCTAGGCACTAAAGTCTGTTTCCATCGTTTACAAAGAATAGCACGTTATTTCACTATTAATTAGCCTTATGATTTGACATTGCAACAGGAATAGAACTTTAAAAAAAATAAGCGTTTTTCTTAGATATTCTTTTTTTCTGTGAAATGACCAATGTGTGTTTTATTATAGAGGTTTTTTTTTTTAAAAAGAGAGGTAAGGCTTCCCTGGTGGCACAGTGGTTGAGAGTCCGCCTGCCGATGCGGGGGACACGGGTTCGTGCCCCGGTCTGGGAAGATCCCACATGCCACGGAGCGGCTGGGCCCGTGAGCCATGGCCGCTGAGCCTGCGCGTCCGGAGCCTGTGCTCCGCAACGGGAGAGGCCACAGCAGTGAGAGGCCCGCGTACCGCAAAAAAAAAAAAAAAAAAAAAAAAAAGAGGTAATGACTGCTCCTCTGGCCTTACCACACACAGACCACACATAACTCACACTCTCTGTGGTCCGTGAGCACACCTCACCCACAGTGGAAAGATCGGCTCTGCAGAGGAGGGAGACACCCACTTTAGCCGTAGGCCCCTCGTATCAAAAGTTTCCACCAGAGTGATACCTTCCACCAAAGACGAAAATCCAAATTTGCTTCAGAAGTAACCGAAGCTTGTTTTGCAGCATTTAGAAAACTGTTTGCAACTTGTACATCCCTAAATATGTTCATTTATTTGGATCAGAGAAATTTCCATGCATTTCTATTAAACTTAATTATTGGATTTCCTAAATTAATCCTCAAAGGGGACCATTTAATTCTGTCTTTATTTTCATTCTTTGTTAACTGTCATTTAGGGGGAAAGGTGACTCATACCCCCAAGTTCCTGTGTTTTTCATTTATAACATTTAGACATTATACCAAAATATACTATGATAAGAGTATGGTACAGTCTGTGTAATAAACATAACCTCTGTCAGATAAGCAGAATAAATGGTGGATTTTCTGTGTTTATAACCTGGGACAAATGAATTAGCCTGGGTGACCCAAGCCTGTGGGGCATGACTGGTCCCTTTGTGTTTGTGGATAATGGACAACAGAGAATTAAACATCAAAAGTCCAAAGCTGAGAGTGAAAGCCACGTTGGAATTTAGTGCTGTAGTTTGGAAAAGGGAGAAAAAAGTTATACCTAGCTCTGTTCTGAAGCAGCACTGGTGAACGCCCTCAGCTTTGCTTTGCCTCTTATTTTAAAAGGATTGTAGCACCAATGACTGTTCTCTTATTCTTACCAGAATACCAGGTTAACAGAATTTTTGCCTGAAACCTCCTGGTCAGGCTCCCAAAATACCAACCGGCTCCACCCAGAGACCGCATATGAGCCATTCAGAGAAGGTCAAAGTGCTCAAGTCAAGTCTCAAACGTTCTTGTTCTGGAAAAGTAATCATGCCCATTCGTACTTTTTCATGTGTTTGGTGAGATTGGCTAGAAAGTTTCAAAAAATCCTCCATAAATATTACCTTCATCTTTTACTATAAATAAAACTCTTATCAAAACAGTAAAGAAAGAGCCAAATGGAGGTACTTCATCTATTTAAATTAAAACAAAAAATGTTTCTGAACACATTATTATATCATACACCAAAGCTTCCTTTAAGGGGGAGGGAGGAATACCTATTATTACACTCGTTATTGCATTAAATTTCTTTCCAACAGTAATTTTCTTGGAATCTGACCAAAGAGTAGATCCAAGTCAATGTGAAAGAACAATTAACTGAGTCATCCGTAATCAAATGCTTTTGTTTTCTTCCAGAAAAATCATTTGATATAACTCAACACCCTTTCGTGATTACAAAATGAAAAACTAGCCCTCTGCACTAACCAGGAATAGAAGGGAACTTCCTTAAGCTGATCAAGTATATTTACCCAAAAAATACCCTGAAAGTGTCCTCTATAAATAGGATAAAAAACAGACTATCACATTGTACTGGAGGTCCTGACGATAAGTCAAGCTTACCCCAAGCAAAAGAAATAAATGACAAAAGACTAGAAATGCAAGAAACTATTATTATGACAAATACCATGATTGTGTGTATAGAAAACCCCAAAGAATCCACATACATACTATTAGAAAATAAAAGGAAGCTTAGGAAAGAGGCAGGCTATAAAGCAATGAACGCAAATCAACGACATCTCTCTACTCCGACAACAAAAAAAAAACTGCTTAAGAAGCAACAACAACGAACCTAGAGATAAATCTAACTAAAGATGTACAACTTCTGGAGAAACTTGAAACTTTATATGAAACTTTATTGAAGGACATTAAAGATTTGTCCTGCCAGGTATCAAGAGCTATTATTAAGCTACTGTAACAAAGACAGTGCGTATTGGCACACGGACAGACAAACTGACAAATGGAACAGAATAGAGAGCCTAGAAACCGCCTGTGGATAGATGGAAATTTGATAAATGACAGAAGTGTATTGCAGATCCATAGGGAAAAAGGGGAGCATTGAATAAATGCTGGGACTAGTACTGGGACTAGTGGTTATCCACAAACAAAAGTCAACATTGGATCATTTCTCACGACATACACAAAAATGATTCCTGATAGGTTAGAATTAAATACAAAAGACAAAACTTAAAACTTTTAGAATAAAATGTGAGGAAATATCTTTATGATATTGGGGCAGAGAAGCATTTCTTTAATCAGGACACCAAAAAAAATGTTAACTATGTAAGAAAAGAGTTGTAAACTGAACCATATTAAATTAAGAACGTTTCCTCTTATTACCACAAAGAAAAAGAGAGACACAGTTAAAAAGAGAAAAAACAAATTGCAAACAAATATTTATAACACATATAAGTAACCAAAGATTAGTATCTAGACTACATAAAGAACTTTTATGAATCAATAAGAAAAAGAGAAATAACCAAATTTTTAAAATGGTTTAAAAAACACGAGCAAGCATTTCTCAAAAAAGAAACACAAAATATATAAAAACGTGACAGAAATGCAAAATAAGACTATGGTGAGATGCCATCCTAAACCCACTAGGTTGGCAAAATGGAGTCTGAAAATGCCTGAGGGTGGCAAGGATGGGACTCACTGCTGACAGGAGCACAAATTAGAACAACCTCGGTGAAAAGCAGTTCAGCCCTGCAGTAGACTTTTTATTGTTCAGAAATATTTGCTGCCCCTCCTTGTGTGACGATTATACTTTCTGCCCTGTTATTGCCAAGCATGGCTGCAGGCATTTTTCTTAAAGTTAGAATCTAGCCAACTACCTATGAGTGTGTTCCTTTGCCACAAGATGGTCAATGTCCCAAGTAGAAGCTGCTCTCTCCACCTAAATCCCGGAGGGAAATAACATGGGACAGAGTCACAGTCAGCCTTCAACAGGCATGTAATGACATCCAGAAATGCACCTCTGTTGTGTGGTTGTAATCTGTTAAGATTGGGGGGGGCTCATTTGTCATTTCTGCATAATTTAGCATATCCTTACTGACATGGGGCTAGCTCATAAAGTTGAACATTCATACGCCCTAAGATCCAGAAATTCTACTTTAAGGAAGTTTCCCTAGAGACACTCTTAAATAGAAAACATATAAAAGAACATTCATAGCAATATTTTCCATAATTGAAGAAAAAAAACCTGGAAACAACCCAAGTGTCCTTTGATTCAGAGTGGGTTGATAAATAATGGTATATTTGCAAAGCTGTACCTCAGTCAAAATGAATGCATTCTAGCTAGCTACACACAATAACATGAATGTCTTACAAATATACTTCTGAGTGATTAAAGCACAAGTCTCCATACAGCACAATACCATGTTCATAAAGCTCAAAAACAAACAAAACTAAGTAAAATAGTTGTGGGGTACATAATTATATGATACGTGATTTTCTTTTAAGCAAGGAAATGAGAGACAACATTCCTGTGAGAAGTTGCCTGGAGTTGGGGTGGGGAGGTAGACAGGAGATGAGGGAGGGAAGCAGCACACAGATGGATGCTCTGATCCTGACTTTGACCCTATAAAGGGTCACTTATTAAATATTCTAGGTTTTGTGGGCCATACAATCTCTGTCACAGCTACTCAACTCTGCTGTTGCAATGCAAAGGCCACCTGAGGGTGCCTTGTGTGCTCCAGGAAAACTACTTATGGACTCTGAAATTTGAATTTCAGATAATTGTATGCGTCATGAGGTATTATTCTTATTCTGATTTGTTTTTGATTATTTAAACATGTAAAACCATTCTTAGTTCATAAACTGTATAAAGGCACATGGCATCTCAGATTTGGCCCGTGGGAGTTTGGCAACTCCTGCTCTAGCGCTCGGGTTGGGTTATGTGTTCACGGGTCTGCACTTCTGTTTCATTTACTAGTTTATGTATATAAAATATTACTGATAAAGTTTTTAAGAATAAAATAAAAAGTAAGCTGTGGCTCAGAGGGGAGTAGGACAAAGGCAGAAGATGGGAAGATGGAGAGGACCAAGGATATACAGGGACATTTGACTCTTTCCAAAACTGTTCCTCAAGGTCTGCTTTTTCTTCTTTTGTTCATTTGTTTGTTTGTTTGGTTTTGACCACATTGTGCAGCATGTAGGCTCTTAGTTCCCTGACCTGGGATTGAACCTGTGCCCCCTGCATTGGGAGTGAGGTGTCTTAACCATTGGACCACCAGGGAAGTCCCAAGGTCTGTTATTTTTTAGTTTTTTGCTCTTGACCCCAAACTTGGGCAATGATGATGACTGTCCTCATTCTCCCCTGACAATGGAGGATGTCTTGTGTTGAATGATTGAACCCATGGAAAATTTGATGGGGGATAGTGCCTGCATCTTATGGCTATTGCCATATGTCATATTAGCACCAAAAAAAAAAAATAGAATTGATTTTGATTATAATTTTAGCTGCACGATTGGCCTACATGATTAAATTTAAAATATAATTCTCTTTGGATTTCAAGAAAACTAGCCCAAACCTCTTAAGCAGTATCTAGAAAATATCACTTTTACCACCATTTATGTCCCATTTTTCTGTCTGTTAAAAGTGGTACATCTTGAAAGGCCAAGTCGTTAGCATTTAGGAAAAAAAACTTGTTAGGGTAACCGTTGGTATTATCCAGTATGGAGTTTTTAAATTTGAAAGGTACAGTAGTGGGATCCCTCATATTTCTCCTGTGATTCTTCTAAAGAGAGTTCCAACACATCTGTGGATTTCCTCTTCACAGTTCACACACTCCTTCCTCTTCTTCTGGAAACCGGCAACTGCAGGCATCTTCCTCTTGGGCTGTTTGTACTGGTCTCATAAATGCTAAAAGTAATTTAAAAGAGAGTTATCTTTTGTTGTCTGTTTGAATCATTTAACATTCATTTTCCATAAATCCCATTTGCAGAACATCTCTCAGCAGCAAACATTTTCAACTTTAGTTTGAACCAACTCATCAGCAAGAAAGGTAATAGCAAGTATAAACGTTTTTTCAGGATTATTTAAGATTTTTTTTCGTTTTACCAAATACTTTTTTATTGGTCCTGAAAAATACTAGTTTCTTTATTGTCTACAAAGGCTAAAAACAGTCTTGAGCATGAATCATTATAGCATAAAGTTAGTCATGTGCCAAACGTAACTGTAGTTTCAATTCAGCAGCACATGTTTTAGTCTTGAGGGTTACTTAGATTACACATTAGATGGCTTCTTTTGAATGAAATGCTTATGGCATCGAGATTTTAAAGTTACTCCCACTGCTTCCATCAATTAGTAAGTAAAGAACTGATTTGTGCACTAGCTTCCAGATTTTCATTTACATGGTAGTGTATAGTATTTGTGTTATTGCCGAGCAACTTTCAATCTTAAAATATATATTAAATTATATATGTATATATACATATATATATACACACACACACATATATAACTATATCCCCACACCCAAGCCCACCAGTAAATATAGATTATTTTTATAGCCTGTCAAAGCAAAAGGTCCTACCCCAATTTTACTTGCTTGTTACTATAAAAAATAACCAAAACCCAACAAGCACACTATCTCCAAGAACTTATGAAAACCTAGCAAGACATCCAGGAATACCAATGAGACGTTCTTTTCCTTTGAAATAGCATCAAAGATGAATTTTTAAATGGAAATCTGCTTCTGGAAAGATACAGTAGTCATACTTTTCCCTATTCTTCCTGCCAAGTATTGCTGAAAAGGCTGGACGTTTTATGTATAACAAACGTAAGAGGAATCTGAAAGGTGGCAAGAAAGCAGACCAGTTAAGGAGCTTGGAACCCAAGGAGAAATATGGCCTTGAGTTCCCTGAGTATTCTCTCTGTTTCACATGTCCCAGACTGGGAACTGGAGAAGTAGGCTAATAAAAAAAAAATGCCCCAAGAGAAGTCTGATCTCTCTAGCTATGAAACCAGGAAAAGAGCAGAGTAACAAGACTAAAAGCTTTTAGATAATCACAGCTCTACTCTAGCAAAAAAAACCATGGACCCACACCCGAGCACACCACTAAAGACACAGTAGAGAGCATAGACTTACACCCTTGCCAAGCTCTATCAAGGCTCACTGCCACATCCTCATTGGGGCAGCATCAGAGGAGTCCGAGTGGAGAGCTAGGACTTCACCACCACTCAACAGTAACAAGGCCACCCCACACCCCACCCATTCAGTGTCAGTGGAAACCATGTGGGGAGCAGGAACAAAGTGTCTTTCCTCATCCCAGACAGGGTAGTATCTGTGGGAGCTTAGTGGGGAGCAATAACAAGGATCTACCACCCCCAGGAGGTCTAGTATAGAACCTGGACTTCCACCTCCACCTGGCAGCATCCTCCTTCCTCTGCCAGAGTGGTGTTAGAGGAACCCTGAATAAACACCAGCTTTCAATTATATCCAAAGTCTGATAACATCATAGCCAATGTCTAGGTTTCAATTTTTAAAAAAATCACTTGTCATTCTAAGAACCAGGAAGATCTCAACTTGAATAAGAAAAGGCAACAGATGCTAGCATCTAGGTGATATAGATGTTAGAGTTATCTGGCAAGGACGTAAAAGCAGCCATCATAAAGATGCCTCACGGAATTCCCTGATGGTCGAGTGGCTAAGACTCAGCAGTTTCACTGCTGAGGGCCCAAGTTCAATCCCTGGTTGGAGGAACAAAGATCCCACAAGCTGCGTGGCATGGTAAAAAAAAAAGAAGCTTCAACAAGCAATTGGGAACACATTTGAAACAAATTAAAAAAAGAAAAGAAAATTTTAAAAAAGAACCAGGTGACAATTTTAGAACTGAAAAATTACAATAACCAAAATGTAAAATATCAATGAATGGGCTCAGCACAAGAATGGAGAAGACAAAGGAAAGAATCATTACCCAATGTGAACAACAGAGAGAAAAGACTAGGGAAAAAAATGAACAAAGCCTCAGAGACATGTGGGGCTATAGCCAAAAAAACTTAATATCATGTCATTGGAGTCCTTGAAGAAGAAGAGAAAGAGAGTAGGGCTGAAAAAGTATTTGAAGGAATAATGGCCAAAAATTTCCCAAATCTGGAAAAAGTCATAAATCTACAGATTCAGGAAGCTAAGTGAATGCTAAACAGGATAATCCAAAGAAATCCACACCAAGATACATTGTAGTTTAAGTTTGGAAAACGAAAAACCAAAAAAAGAAAAAAAAGAAAGAAAGAAAGAAAGAAATCTTGAAAGCAGCCAGCGAGAAGCAACACATCACTTATAGGGGAAAAACAAATTGAATGACAGTGAATTTCTTACCAGAAACCAGGCAGGCCAGAAGAAGTAGCACAACATTTTTCAAGTGCTTAAAGAAAAGAACTCTCAAGCCCAAATTCTATATCCAGTGAAAATATCTTTCAGGAGTGAAGGGGAAATCAAGAAATTTTCAGACAAAAGAAAGCCTACCCTAAAAGAATGGCTCAAGAAAATTCTCTGAACAGAAGAGAGATGATTAAAAAAAAGGTATCTTGGAACATCAGGAAGGAAGAAAGAACAACAGAAAGAGCAAATATATGGGTAAATAAAATAAACGTTCTTTCTCTTGAGTTTTCTAAATTATGTTTGATGGTTGAAGCAAAAATTATAACACTAAGATGGTTCTCAAAGCATGTAGCAGAAATATTTTAGGCAAGTATATTATAAATTGGAAGAGGTTAAAAGGATGTAAAAGGAGGTAAGATTTCTATACTTTTTTCAAACTGTTAAAATGTTGATGTAGTCTATATAAATATGTATGGTACTTAGAGCAACCACACAAGAGCTATACAGAGATACACTCGAAAAATATAAGGAGGGCTTCCCTGGTGGCGCAGTGGTTGAGAGTCCGCCTGCTGAGGCAGAGGACGCGGGTTCGTGCCCCGGTCCAGGAGGATCCCACGTGCCATGGAGCAGCTGGGCCCGTGGGCCATGGACGCTGGGCCTGCACGTCCAGAGCCTGTGCTCCGCAATGGGAGAGGCTGCAGCAGTGAGGGGCACGCGTACCACAAAAAAAAAAAAGATAAACCAAAATGGAATTCTAAAAAATGTTCAAGTAATCCACAGGAATGCAGAAAAAGAAAACAGAGAAATGAATGCCAGAGAAAGCAAACAGAAAACAAAAAAATAAAATAATATCTTGAGCCCTATCATATAAATAATTACAATATATGTACATTGTTTAAATGTACCAATCAAAAGATAGAAATTAGTAGTGTGACCATTGTATGTAGTCTATAAGAAATTCACTTCAAATATAAAAATGTGGGAAGGTTGAAAGTAAAAGGATGGAAAAAGATATACCATGTATATTATTAATTTTTAAAAAAGCAGGAGTGGTTGTATTACTATCAGATAAAGTAGACTTCAGAGCAAAGAAAACCAGACATAGAGAGGGACCTTACATAATTATAAGAGTTAATTCACCAAGAAGGCATAGCAGTACTAAATATGTATACAACAAGCAACAGAGCTACAAAATAGGAGAAACAAAACTGACAAAACTGAAATGAGAAATATACAAATCCAGAATTATATTTGAAGAATTAAATGGCCTTCTCCCAAGAGTTGATAGAAACACTTGACAGAAAATCAGCAATGATATAGAAGAACTCAACAACATTATCAATCAACAGGATCAAATCAATATTTAAGAACACTCCACCCATCTTTTCAAGTGTCTATAGAACAGAGACCAAGATAGACAGTAACCTGGACCATGAACCAAACCTCAGCAAATTTAAAAGAAATCATACAGAGAGTGTCCTCTTATTATAGTGGAATTAAAATACACATCAACAGCAGAAAGAAAACAAGAAAATCACCAAAAACTTGGAAACTGAAAAACACACTTTTAAATAATCAAGAGAAAAACAAAAAATACACCAAACTGAATGAAAATGAAAAAAACAACATATCAAAATGTGTGGATGCAGCTAATTCAGTACTGAGAAAGAAATTTATAATGTGAAGTTCTTATATTAGAAAGACAAAAAGTCCCAAGGTTCGGAACCAAGATGGCGGAGTAGAAGGACCTGCACTCACTCCCTCTTGAGAGAACACCAGAATCACAAGTAGCTGCCGGACAATCATCGACAGGAAGACACTGGAACTCATCAAAAAAGATGCCTCACGTGCAAAGACAAAGGAGAAGCCACAATGAGATGGTAGGAGCGGTGCAATCACAGTAAAATCAAATCTCATAAATGCTGGGTGGGTGACTCACAGACTGGAGAACACTTATACCACAGAAGTCCACCACTGGAGTGAAGGTTCTGAGTCCCACATCAGCTTCCCAACCTGGGGGTCTGGCAACGGGAAGAGGAATTCCTAGAGAATCAGACTTTGAAGGCCAGTGGGATTTGATTGCAGTACTTTGACAGGACTGGGGTAAACAGAGACTCCACTCCTGGAGGGCACACACAAAGTTGTGTGCGCATCGGGACCCAGGGAAGGAGCAGTGATCCCATAGGAGACTGAACCAGACCTACCTGCTAGTGTTGGAGGGTCTCCTGCAGACGTGGGGGGTGGCTGTGGCTCACCAGGGGGACAAGGACACTAGTAGCAAAAGTTCTGGGAAGTACTCCTTGGCGTGAGCCCTCCAAGAGTCTGTCACTAGCCCCATCAAAGAGCCCAGGTAGGTTTCAGTGTTGGGTTGCCTCAGGCCAAACAACCAACAGGGAGGGAACCCAGCCCCACTCATCAGCAGTCAAGTGGATTAAAGTTTTACTGAGCTCTGCCCACCAGAGCAACAGCCAGCTCTACCCACCACCAGTCCCTCTCATCAGGAAGCTTGCACAAGCTCCTTAGATAGCCTCATCCACCA